TGGGGGTCTGATAGCCTATTTTTCCACAGCCAAAGGTCAGTAAAACACCACAGAAAGATCTGTACCTGATGATGTGACTTAAAAAAACAAATCAAAGCAACTCTGTTGGGTTTTTTTCATGACCAGCATTGACTGCAGTGGTCATTGGCTTAGAACTCTGTACTGGCTCCTGCTCTTGAAGACCTGCAGCAAGTAACTTCCTATGGAAGCAAGACCAAGAGGTCGAAAGACCACATGAATAATATCTTGCTTGCAGCAAGCAGATCTGCTAATCAGATCACCTGTATCTTTAAATGTACAATATTTTGGGCGTTTCTTCAGATATCATAATTTATACTTCAGTTACTGAGAAAACACTTGGCCATCTATGAATTGCAGTTATTGTTGGAGTCTTTGCCAGCATAGAAAGCATTCATCACCCAAATCCTGTAATCCTATTTGATTTTGAGGTAGGTGGGAAGGTTGCCATAGAGCAATAAGCCTAATGGTATTTTTATTTGGACATGGCTTCATTACTTTTCATTGACATCCGGCATGTTCTAAAATAGAGGACCTTTTCATCTACTGTTGCAAATGCTATTTAATTACATCTATTTTCTTGGGAATTTTTTTTAACGCTTTCTCCATTTTATTCAACTTTGTTTTAAAGTGTACCTACAAGAATTCCCTGTGAATCTGCTGCAACCAGATTTCCTTCTAGCTTTCCTGTACTCCACTTTGAAAGTCTATTATGATCTCAACCTGTTTTGGGGCTGTCATTTTGGATAAAGCATCTACAAAGACCAGCAGTGTCACTGGGTGTGAATCCATCCATAGAGGCAGTGCCCAGCTGAAAGATTCATCTTCCCCATCCAAAATTTTAGTTATCTGCCATTTCCTTGATGCTTGTCCCCAGTAGAGGAAAGAGCGGTGCACTTTTTTCTATAACTCAGTATGAGGCTATTGCCAAGCCTCCATTTGTTGTCATTGACCAGGGAGATTTGCAGTGCTCAACAACTTGGACAATTTTCCTGTGAAGCTCCTGTTGTCTAGGATTTGTTGGGTGCTTATTTGGAAACACAAATCCTTTCCTGTCTGAGAGCAGCAAGTACAACCTGCTTTCCCTAGAACAAGTATTTACAACGCAGAAGATTTAGAAAATATTTTCCACCATTTTTATGTGTAACACTGTGCCAGCATCAAATCCTCCAATTCGACAAGGTTTATGCAGGCTAAGCTTTCTAGAAATTTCAGAATTATGCCAGTCATTGTTTATTTAAATATATATACACACACACTGAGGTACATTACTTCTAGTAGTCATTTCTTTACTAAAACATGATGTCAGAGTAAAGCAAAACTATCTCAAACTCAACTTAAAGGAAACCTTGGAGACTTAAGAGATCTGTTCTTGTTCCTGCTTTAATCTTTGGGATGTGTTCCCCTGAAATAGGTGGGAGCAGAACAGCATGTGGTGTAACTACAGTGCATGTGCTTGGTAAATTCACATCCTTCCAAGTGATGCTGTATTACCTCTTCCTCCCACTGAAACACCATTGTTGAACTGACAGAGGAGAGATAAGATAGGAAAGGATCTTGTACTTTCCTTTGTCCTAAATCTTGGAAGAAGGACTACTCATAGAAGTGATGTGGAGATTGCTGCCCTGCAGCTTCCACATAAGTGTGTTGGGTAGGAAGAGGACTTTACTGGATTCTTACCAAGCATAGCCCCCAGATGTACTTCAGAAAGGTTTGTGAAACCTTTCTTGACTCAGAGCTGGCTGGTTTCTTAAAATAATGTGATTATTTTGTCCTCTGAGGTCCTCTAGCATCTTTTTCTGCCCAGACAAAAGAATGCTAGCAAAGTACAAAAGCCTCATTAGTGCTTCACTGAGGGAGACCATGTAGAGCCATTTCAGACCCCAAACCCCAGTGACCTCAGAGGGGAAAGATACTTTGCTTCTTCCTGCATCACTGATAAAGATCATATCAATTCAAATCGCAGTGCAGTTGTCACGACTTGAGATTGGCAATTAAACCAGCAACATATATGGCAGATGCTTTCAGTGGCATATTTAATAAAATTAAATGTCTGTAAAACATAGGCCTTGGCTGTCATTAAACTGAGCCACCCACAAGGGTACTGGTAGGTAATTTAAAGAGCTGTGTTTTGAAGTATGG